ATAATTATCGTAATAGTTCGACGTGTCGCGCCGCACTGTGTCACGCCGCATGGCAATACGCATGGAGATTTGGAAAAAAAACAGAGTAAAATATCGCCGGTACAAATATAATAAAAGCGATATAACGCGACACGCGAGATATTATAGAAATGAGTCTCGCTCACACATGCTGGGTCGGTTGAAAAGCTCACCTCGCTCGGACGGTCGTGGAAACTCGACTGTTGGCTGTATCAAAAATCGCTTGCCAGCTGGAGACGAAATATTCGCTGCGCTTTTCAATTAAAAGCTCATTCCACGCGAAGCTCATTTGACGAGAGAGCGTCATGAAATGCGAGCCCGGCGCGATTTGCGCCCAGTAAAATTTATTACACAGACTTCTGCTAAAAGTTTCAGACAAACGCTTCTAATTGCGAACACTCGAATAGTATCGCGGAAACAGATTATGTTAAGTAATAGTGGCTTTAATCAAACGGTCTTTGTACTGAAGAATTCGTGCACCATTTTCAGAATTATTCGGACTTCAAAGAGATTTCTGGGCATGTGCTTTGCATCAAGTATGTTTACATGCGGAGAGAGAAACAGAGAGACGAAAGGAGGGGGGGAGGAGAGAGAGAGAGAGAGAGAATTCACGCGGGAATAAAATATATTTTTATGTGAAATACATATTTTAAATTCTATTAAAATTCCAGAATTGTACTTCTGAAATAACTAAATCCCGCGCTCAAAGCTAGCTGGAACGCGACCGGAAGTTATGCAGAACATTCGACAAGTAAAATCTGGCAATAATTAATTACCATGCGGTAATTCACGCAATTATCGATCGATGGACTTTTTCCGTTATATTCGCAAAGAGAAATACGAGCGTTCAAGGGTGAAATTTATTCCTCCGTACGTGTAGTTGGATCGCGACCCGGTTAAGTAAGAGCGACCCAAGTTTCGAGCGAAACAACTCGAGCTCTTCGCTCGCATATCTCGGCTCTCGGAGAATTACTTCGATGTGCAGGCGACGTGGTGATTTCGATCGACGACACCCGGCGACATTGAATCTCATCGAATCCGCGGCAGCACTAAGCCACGTCCGCATCTTAAGTCGAATCTACGTGCCCGAACATTCGTGGCTGCTTGCGACACAAATAACTTAAAAGGTTTCCGATGCCGGTATCCACCTTTCGAACCTTACCGTCCGATCCAGTTGGGATATTACTGCGCCAGCTAGAGGGAGAGGTACAAGGCGAACGGAGGAGAGAAGAGATTTGCCGAGATGCACACATGCTTTCTTACATCAGAGCTTTCCCGCTTTTAACACGACAGGTGAAGATGAAAAGGAAAGAGCACCAACGAAATGAAACAGCGCGCGGTTTTATTTCCTTCTCTTGCAAATACTGAACGTACTGCAATGCGAAATGCACATTCGCCTTTCGAAATGAGCTTGGCGTTTCCTCTCCTCCAAGTTGAAACCCGAGTTGGATACCCGAATCGAAATTTTGCTTCCGCCCCTGCAAATTCCGTCGAGCTCGAAAGACCAATGCAGAATGCTCCGCGACTCGAAGTCTTGCTCTTGCGTTAACCCTTTGTTGCACAAATTTTTCTGTTGTCTGTATTTTGCTACCAATGATAAATCCAAAAAATGGGAAGCGACAAAGTATGGAGAAAGTGTGATGAAATGTTGATCGTTTCAAAGATTTCGTCGGTGAGATGATTCCGAGTCTAGTCAGATTTTTCGTTGTAATTCCACGATTAAAAAAGCTCCCCCGATTAGTTGGCGAACTATTCGTTGATTTTTTGTGACGATAAATTTTAACGTTTTCCCGACCGACCGTCGAACGCAAGTTCGATTTGAAATGTATCAATAGCGATCGCTGGAATATATTCCCGTCCCTTTCCAGTGTCAACTAAACGGAAGATGATGTCGCGACAGAGGAGCATTGTTAACTTTGCGATAGTAGACAAATGTATTTAACATGTGCTACGTAAAGCCCTGTGAAACATTTCTTGCTCGCGGGCGAATGTACCGGGTAACTGAAGACACAGGCGAGTTTCCGAGCGAGCAGAGATCCGCTGCGGTTTTGTGTGTACATACTCGTCTGTGTATATACTCGCCCCATACCGTGTACGTGGAAAGATGGAAGGGTTCTCTGTCTCTATAGCCTTTCCTCTCGTGCGTCTCCATCAGGAAGGTAAGAAGAAGTTAATCTCGGCCCTTTCAGGGAGCGAGAGAGAGAGAGAGAGGAGGGAAGAGGGAACAGGGCGTCGACAGTAATGTAACACAAAGGGATGGGATGCGCCACGCAAATTGCGCGCCTCACCTGTACAATTATGTCCCGCAAACAGGTCCCGTCGATTCCGCCGAGATTCAAGTCCCGCGATTGTTTTCAATTAATTTAATCGCGATCTTGCCTCTTACGACTTTTTCGCGTGCGCTATTTCACAAGCGCCTGGTTGCAGTAGCTGAATAGCACCGACTCGTATAATTCGCATAATTAAACGCGCGACCTTCCGGAATGCGCGGGATGCGCGGGAGAATCATCCGGTCCGGAAATTTCGAAAATTCCGTACAGCCGGCTAAGACGACGCTGGAATTTTCGCCCGGTAAATTCGGCCGAAGTTTTTCGAATTCCGGTAAACGTGACCGGCGCGCGCGCGCGCGCACACACACACACACACACACACACACATGCGTGCGCACACACATAAACGAGGGATCTCTCGCGCGCCCGCCGGGGATTTCATTTTAATTTCGCCTCGAGCCGCCCCCGAGACGTTCGCCTTCGCTCCTTCGTCAGTGGTAGAGTTGGCTCTTTCGTCATTGTTTTCGACCAGTTCACGCGCAAGAGAGAGAGAGAGAGAGAGAGAAAAGAGGCATCGATATATGACGGAAAGGGCAGCGGTGGTGGCGAGAAGGTGAAATAGAACGAGAGAACGTTCAAGGAGAGAAAATACCGGAAGGATTTTGCGCGAAGCTTGATGTCTGGTGCTGCGGAAAGAAGGCGGATGCATTACACGCACAGAGACACACATACATATACACGTATGCATACGGCACATTTGCGCATATTTTCCGTTCACGAATCTACATGAGTAACGGCACCGAAATTTCGGCGCCGTCGCCATAAATTCCACGGAGGAGCTCGTTTTCGAGGACGCGCGCCCGGGCTTCCTCGGTGGATACGGCGACGTGCGCCTCGTTTTTGTCCGACCCGGTTGTCGCGTTTCCGGCGCCCGTCGATACGGTATTTGAAATTGAGATGCGACGATTTAAAGAGATTCCACGCGAGTTGCCCTCCGGGCTTTCCGTCGCGATGACGCGTGGATTAGCCGGGTGTCCGTTTCGCTCGGCGTTTACCCGAGGATGTTTCGCAACGTGCGGAATAGCGGAATTCGCAGGGACGACTTTAATAAATCCGAATTTGAATCTGAGTCCTTATCGCCATAAAAATCGTCGCAGAAAACTCGGTCCAGCGTAACGTGACGTGCGAGAAGCGAGAAGTAGAACGCGCTCGTAAAGAGCGTGTTTTTCCCGGCCGATGAGAGCGAAAATTTCATTTCGGGCGCGTCGAGGCCGGCGGGGTGTCATTAATTCGATGACGCGGTCGAATGTTGTCGAAGGGACCGCGGAAAGCGTATTTGCGAACCGCTGGAGGGCAGCGAGATCCATATGAAATAAGAAAGAATTACACGAGCTCCCCTGCGGCGCGACGTCGATTGTTATGGAGATTTCCGGGACGAAATTAATCCCGGCTACGAGCCGCGCTCGCAGTCGAGAAGTTCGGTACATTTTCGCAATTTGCATTCCACCAATTTGTCACGGCACCGTGTCGTCACCGTGTCGCGAATCACGTTGATTCCCTTCGTCTTTCGCAGCGGTTTACTCTAATATAGCTAAGTGTTCCGTCGATTTCGCCAATTTTCGAAGGCATTCCCGCTAAAGTCGCGCATAAACAACAAAAGAATGGTCCGAAAATGCAGAAAATCCGCGAGAGGTGAGCAATAAAAAATCGTTAAAAAAACCCAGACGCGGATAACGCGCGGGATGATCCAGCGCGAGACACGTGGATATTGCCTGTAAGTGAAAAAGCTCGGAGAAATATTAATAATAAAGCGGCACGTTATCTCCCGTAATTTTGCCGGTATTTCGAGGACGCACTCGCTCACTCGCGACCGTGCGAGAGGAAATACGGTCACATTTTTGAAACGAAAACGCACATATTTATTTTAACATTTCACGCGTCCATTGTTCTCGCTTGAAAAATGTATGCTCTCGTTGTTACGATAAAACGCACGCTTTGCTGGCTGTTCGGCGCCCGTGTTTAAAATCTCGTAAACAACGCGAACTGCTGGTTATGTGAAACGATAAAACAGAAATGCGACGCGACCGCAATTCCCCACTCTTCGCGGGGGGACACGCAGGGTAAGGGAGAAAAAGAATCGCAAAACAGTGCTGGAATGTTATGAAATCATTTATCTTCCACTATTCGCATTACGATCCGACCCAATTATAATCCTCCATAATGGCGCGACAATGCGAGCAAAAACGGCGAGCACTTTCCGAAAATGTTTCGCAGACGCGCCGAAACATCACGGAATAATAATGGAATTCGTCATAAAACGTAATCGTGACGTTGTAAATTTTATTATTCAACCCGCGCACGATATGCATTGCATGTTTCAATGCGTATCGTCTGTCGTCACGCTTAATTTGCGAGCAAATAAATATCGTTAAAAACATTATATTTATATTCCCGCGATTATATTTATTATCCAGGCGCGCGAACAGGATCGCGGCGGTATATCAATAACGCTTAATAACAATCACTTGCGGGAATACGTTATTAAAAGATCTCGATCACGATTGTATGTAGTCCCGGTGGTAATAAGCCGCGGCGCAGAGCAAACTCTCGCGATAGGAGGGGGTGGGAGGTGCGGGAGCGGGGCGGGGAATTCGCGCGAATCAGCATACGGAAGTAGCAGCGAAGACGAATGATCGCCATTCGCAATTGCAGGACGGCGTGAGTCTGCTGCAATTCACGCCAACGGTGGAGGACGAAGGGAAGTTCCTGGTGTGCCGTGCCGAGAATCCGAAGCTGCCGGAAGCCGGCATCGAGGACCGATGGAAGCTGAGGGTGCACTGTAAGTACTGAGCGCCGTAATAGCCGATAACGCAGTTCTCGGAGCGACTTGAAATTTGTATAAGGTTTTAATCCCCGGAGTATGTTTAAAATACGAAAGAGAGCCGGCGAAGCGGGGAATCCGCTACGTGCGTCGTCCTCACCCGTGCTTCGGCTCGACCTTCCAACGCCTGCGCGCCTATGTGTCTTTGTATTCTTTCAAAGTGATCTCTCCATTGTTTACCAATCTGCACTATTGTGACTTGAGAGCGATAATATCGCCGCCAGATAGATCCTTTATAACGGCTAGCAGCTGCACGGAAAAAAATGCTGTTGAATCGGTAAAATGTCCAATAGTAATTAAAATAAATCTTGATTCAATAGCGATACATTATTATACGTTATTTCAATGATTAGTTTCAATGATATCGTTATTGAATCAAGAGGATTTGTTCCAATTACGCGTGTTGCTGGAAATCCCACCGATTCAGTAGCATTTTTTCCCGTGTGCTATTTCTCACGGTGCAGAGCGAGCGTTATTTTAAAGATAATAAAATATTCATAAATTAAAATTTAATTATTGAACCATTATAAAAAATATAGTAAAATCATTATTAATGGGCGAACTAGTTATTGAGCGCAATAATTGAAGATAACACGGCCAATAAATAATGTACCTTTCAATTAATTTCGCACACAAAGAAAAATAATTCTGCTGCTGTAGCGAAACCATCGTTACTACTGTATATTTATTGCGACAGCGATAACATTTATTTGGTATAACCAAATTATTTGTAATTAGAGCAGAAAGTTTTGTTACCAGGATGAAAAATATTTTGTTGGATGAATTTGTTCTTAGGGCACGTTAATTTGCTATCAGAATAAAGTACGGTTTTACCATACTTACTAATTTGTACTCACAATAAAATAATTTCTAGATTCAGCAAAACATAATCCAGCGAATGGCAATTAGTACTCTTAACAAATCGTTTTGCTGTCCATATAGTAATTGACAGATCCAGATCCAGATTTTCCTGCGATAACATAAAATTTGTTGTTTCAGCAAATAATTTCTTTGCGGAAGCAGGAAGGAAATTATGCAGGGTTTTATGGAGGATGAGAAGGGATTTGAATGCCGGGAAGCACATAATCGTGTTTCTTCGTTTTGCTACTTGCGAAAAACACATGCGAGACTCCTCCTTTGTTCCACTATTTGATGTTGTTACGCGCAATTGTAACTTACTGTTTGAGAATAGTTGCCGTAATAGAATTGCGCAAATTAATTTATTTTCCGAGTGCATTAACCCAACATTGGACTTACTGTCCTGCAATTTTGGTCATGTATTCCTGCGACGCCTTCCGGTACTCAGGCGGTTAAAGTTCGCCGAATTCCGCGCGAACACTTTGTCGGTCGTGATACACCGACTACACTCGGCGCACTGAGTGCGCCTCGATTCTTCCAAACATCGACCGACTGAAACATTTCTTCTTTTTTTTTTTTTTCCTTTTCGTCTTGCCGATCATCGCTCGGCGAACGATCGAATGCAATTATTCCGATAAATTCCGAAAAGCCGGCGCGTACGGAGCGAGTTCTCTAGCTTCGGGACAAAGACGGCGGGCAGGCAGGACGGGCGATCGGAATTTCATTCGAACGCGTTCAAATAACGGGCGCCTGTGCAATCGCCCCCTCAAACAACGATTCTCGTAAGTCTCCGGGTCGTCCTTAAAGGAAAACGGTGCTCTTCGAGAAGGGTAGCACGGTATCCCCTCGCTCTTGCCTCCCTCTTGAAGCGAGGAAGTTAAGTGTTACGTACACGGAGGGGCCGGGCAACGCGCTAACATTGATCTCCTGAGAGAATGTAAGAACGCATCCTCATGGAGATCGGCTTTAAATAATACGACAGGAACGATTACAACGAAATGTTGAGCTTGTCAAAAACTCGATTTGTTTTTCAGTTGAATTTGACGTTATTACGTTCATTGGGAACGAATTATTTGTCAACCGAGTAATCGTCGCGGTTTCGTTTTTAGCATATAACTATATATATATACAGGATGTTCCAGACTAACACGGGCAAATTTTGTGAGGGCGTAAAACGGATTGAGATGGACAAAAAAAGTCCTCCATTATTATGCAAATAGCATACAAATTTTGGAGTTATTAACGAAAGAAACCTCTACACATGGCCATTTTCAATAATGAATAACTCAAAATTTTGCGTGTTGTTTGTAGAGCAGTAGAAGACTTATTTATTCAGTTCAATCCGTTCTACACTCTCGCGAAATTTGTCCCTGTTGGTCTCGGTCACTCTGTATAATATATTTATATTCAGCAATATATACAATACAATCAAATATATTATTTATTGAAAATGCAGCAAAATTTGTTCACTAATCCGATATTTTATCGTTTAATTATTAACGATCAAAGAATTGACTATAATCTTCGTGTGCTTTGTGTGCTATATTGTAAATATCTTTGAAAATTGTTGATATTTATTACTCGGTTCTCTCTTTCTAACTCTCTTGATCGCCCACCAAATTAATTGTTACCGTTTCAGTCGGGCTTTTTCGTTATACTTTGCTCGGGAGTGAGTCTTCGTTTACCGCACGTATGTACCGCAGTTATAAAATAGCGTTGCGTAAAGAGATATTCGCGTATGCGAAAATTGGCTGATTCAACCCCATGGGAGAGCAATGCAATTTGCGCTACCCAAAATCACGGCAATAACCGGCCAGAAAACAAAGTCCGCGTAATTAGCGAACAAATTTAAATATCCGTCGGTCGTGCACGATAACGGGTTCATTATCCACTAAAAAAGAAACAAACTAGTTGGTTGTATCGGATAACGTTAAACAAGCGGCCGGGCTGTAAACGCTATTAAAGGTTCATAAAACGCTAAACGGTATTAAACGTTGCATGGGCGGGGAAAAAAAGAAGCGGTACATGCGATACACCGCGGACGGCGCCCACCGAGCGACGCGGCAAATACTCGAGCTGAAGGTAACCACCTGATTACTTTGCCCGGTACTTACGGCAACTCTCGCGCTTATGCGTTACGGTGACGCCTCGCTTGCGATGCGAATTGGAACGGCCGGGCTTAAACTTTGCACAGTGTAATTGCTCGCCTTGACCGCGCGGAGCGGTAAACAGCCGGAAATAATCGCGCTCGCTCGACACCGTGGATGAAAATCTTACGCGTCATCATCGCGATATATATCATCGCCGCTGCGATATCTTGTTAATCACACGCCGAAACAGTCAAATTCGAGAATCACACGCGAACGTTATTTATCTCACCTGGTCGGGAACTACTCAAAATTCCGTGCCGACGCGGCGATCGATCTCTGAGAAATGACTCGGAATCCAATTGCGAGAACCATGTTCGTCGATCTCTTTGCTTGACAAAGAATGATATGTTAAAACTGTTTCTCGAATATAAAGTCAAGCGTGGGACAAGTTCGATTTATTCGATCTTTTACAAACATTGAATATGATCATCGCGATGTAAGAAAATCTGACTGATTAGACAGCCATTTTCTCATACAGCACAATAGCTGACAACATTGCGGCAACGTTGCAGCAATGTTGCTGCAAATGCTGTATGGGTTACCGTCTCAATTTGATGATTTATTTCAATTGATCACCGCACAAATGTATCTCGGGCCCAAAGTAACGAGAAGCCTCGCGTTCCTTTTTCGCTTCTCTTCCACGGATGAGCGCGAAAACGATAAAATCTTGCAACGTGCATGGAATATTTCCCGAGCGCAGACGCACATTTTTAATCGAAATCGGATTAAACATACGGGTGAGTTGACGATGAGCGATATCGGCAACTGAATTTGCCGAAAGTTAGCGTATATTAGCGAGTCGTCGTTTCCGTTCCGATGATCGTGCTGAGGACGTCGTGCGCGAGTCCCACTCAAGGGCCCGACGAGCCTTTGAGTCTCGCTGTAACAATTTGGATTGGTTCCGCTCGCCTGGAGTGTCCTTACGCAAGCGTAAAGGGACGTTAATTCGATTTCGATAGATTGCGCGCGATATACACGGAAATGCATCGGGGCGCACGCAAACTCGCGAAAACGAAAAGCAATACGCTCAAGCGAGCGGATTCGAGTGGTCGAAACGAAAAAGACGACTCGCGTGTTAAGCTTCCGTGTCGTGTAACGTTGTGTGTCTGCCTGTATGTGTGTGTGTGTGTGTGTGTGTGTGTATCTCTTCGAACGCTTTTCCAGAACTTACGCGTGTCAATCGCGCGAAATCCATGCGAGTTACTGCGAAATTGTTCAGCGCGTTTCACTGAGAGAATCGTCCCTTTTATTTCTCGATTTACATACTATTTCATCTATATTCGCGCTTAATCTGCAATACGTTCTGTTTGCCCAGCGGATTATGCGCGTATGTGTTTTGCGCCTTCAACGGTGAAATTTTTATTCCCAAAAACGAATATAATACGTAAAACGATAAAATATTACGCGCTTAAATTAAAACGTGTTGTACACACATCATGCGTTTATCTCAAAGAGAATCAATATCCGAATACACGAGTCTTCCGGATATTGCCGGTGTGTTTCCCGTATGTTTCTCAAATTATTTCGTTATTTGCCTGCCTCTTTGTGGATATTCAGTTATATCATCTGAATGTATCTGATTATTTTGAAATGATCGGGAAATCAAACACCAGAACTGTCGGAGTATTATTCTACTTAGTTAAACCGGGCTTTTCAGGCTAACATTCACGCGATATCATTCGTACAGTTTAACTTTCCATATATGCATGTAATACAATACAAACAGATCCGCGAACTTTTAGAAACGCAATTTGTAACTGAATGAAAAACGTTTCTATCGCTTTTTCAACATTTCTAAACATAACAACATTGTGTTAATTTAGAATATTCGGATATATAACACGACCACCGTTATATTTAGAGTCGGTTGTTGCATTTAATGCATACCCGAATAATCTCGAAATACATCTCTACACATTACGTAATAACGGACTGGATAACGTGTCGGAT